CCCCAGGGAAGTAGGATTGTATATTTTCCCTTTAAGATGGATAGTGGACTTCTGCATTTTTATGAACAGAGGTGTCATTCATTAGCCCTAACTGGCACTCACTGGTTTGGATAAACCCAGATCCATGTTATAGGCATGGCACCATCCGCCTGTGGAGGGTACTGCATGGTGCACGTGCCAGAGCCCGGAGCACGGAAGAGCCTTGGTTATCACTTTCACACTAAACTCAGGTGTGATAGGCTACTAGTTAGCGCTTGCCTAGTGCTCTTTTCCTTTCATTCCTAGCAAGGCTTAGGAGTCCTGCTTGCCTTAAACATTTAAGTTTAAAAGGATTGCTAATGTTTACCTATTAAACCAGAAAAGGCAAATTACAGCTAGGAGGGCTTCCCTGGTGGCACAGTGGTTGAGAGTCCGCCTGCCGATGCAGGGGACACGGGTTCGTGCCCCGGTCCGGGAGGATCCCACATGCCGCGGAGCGGCTGGGCCCGTGAGCCATGGCCGCTGAGCCTGCGTGTCCGGAGCCTGTGCTCCACAACGGGAGAGGCCACAGCAGTGAGAGGCCCGCGTACCACAAAAAAAAAAAAAAAAAAATTACATCTGGGAAATTGTTAGAATAGATATACGGAAATAAATATTTTAAATAGTTTTTGCAGGTAGTTCTGAGAATTGAAATAGTTCAGGGACTGAAAACTCAAATGTTTGTAGGGACCAGGCGGGTAATTTAAATGGATGAGAGTCTGAATATTGGGGATTGTGGCAAAATGGAGCATACAGGCCCTGACTTAAGACATTAAACGACAACAAGAAGAAACAAAAAGCACCCGCTCTGTGAGCCAATTAAAACCTGCGTGGGGCTGAGTTCTGCCTGGAGGCTAGCAGTTTATGGCAGCCTCTTGACTGGAACCTAATATAGCAACATGCAACAAGGACTTTAAAATGTGTCATATATTATTATCAAAAGAGACAACAGAAGAGGCAAAGAAATTAATTTGGACATAAAATGTTCTTTGCTCTTGTATTTAAAGAAAAAATCTGCAAACCATTCAAATGCCGAATAATTATTGGAGAATGATTCATCAAACTATGGTATAACTGTGGAACCATTTAGAGCACAGAGATATATAGAAAATGCCAGGGCATCACATGGAAATGTACACGTGAAAATTAAGTGAGAGTAGAATACAAAATTATAAACGTATATGAGTTACAGTATATGTTAACAAAGATCAGGCAGGAATTTGGAGCATTGTAAAAAATTTGCCACTCATCAGACTTTTTCCCCCTGAAAAGAAGCTTAAATTCACCCTGAAGAAAATGCAAGTCACCTCCACCAAGCCCATCAGTAAAATATCTAATTGTCCTATGGATTAGATCCAACTAAGCACAAGCATGACTGTTTCAATAGATATGACTTTGTCCTAGAAGTTTTTATTTTTGCCTGAAAGAGATGACTTAATTTCCTACTCTGGTATACACTGATGTTTTGTTCCCCACCTCAAAATTCCGATTTTTACTTTTCTCCTATTCACCCTGTTTTATAAATCTGGATCCGAGGAAACAGATTCCAGTCCCAAACTTCTTGAGCGACGCCCCTCCCTCCATTCTACTTGTGGGTCCACGCTGAACCAAGTCCCATAGCAGAATATTGCAGGTCCTTTGGCTTCCTTGGTGTATCAGGAATGGCCCAGGCTTTGGAGATACTTCAGGTCCTGGAAGTTCCAGAATTGTTGGCCAACACCCAAAGTGGAGTGTCCATGGTGGTCGCCATTTGATGCCCGTGCTTGGCCTGTCAGGGCTGGGCTAGCACCTCTGGAGTGTCTGGTGATCAGAATACCTCTCCCCATGTGTTCCTTACTGGTGTGATGAGGGCTTCCTCATCTTCTCCTCCTGTGATCCCTTTACACACCGTCCATAAAGCCTTAGCCGATTCTTCAGGAATTGCAGGATGAGAACAGAGACTTCTTGTTGTTCAGTGCCTCGGGTGTGTGTTCTGCAGGGCAGCGACTGTGGCTGGCTTGATTTTGTGCCCATGGGCCAATTTTAGCTTGGTTGGTGGGGACGTTATTTGAGGGCTGAGGTGATTTAAATAAGTTCAAATATTATCAAATTTTAAAAACAAATACAAAGGTTACTTCCCATGCTGATGTGAGGTTAAATCTCTAATGGGCATACGTTGATAATTGGTGCTGCCCTCAGATCTGTTTCTACTAAGATTTCAATTGGCTGCTTTATCTTCACTGAACCTTCTAGGAATCGCTCCACAACACTGATTTTGTACAATAACTCGACAAACATGTGAATGCTTAATCAAGGGACTTGATTTCCCTGTGCCTAGCTATCCAGGCCTAGAAGTAGATAAATCTCTTTCTTCTTTAGTTCAGACGAGATTGGTATTTTTAGAAGGAACTTGATTCGAGATCCTGAGTCTAATTGTTACTCACCTGGGTCCTTGGACTCTTAATCCATAGAAATTGATAAGAGGCCAGAGGAGAATTTCAGGCAAGACTTTATCAGGACTCGTGCTGCAGCATGAGGGAGCGAAAACAAGTAACAGGTGCTGTTGGTTCCCTGGCTCCTTAAAGGGGTGAGGCTGGAGGTGGACTGGTGGCTTGGCTGGGAGGTGTAGTTTAGGTGGTCTGCGTGCCCCTTGGTGGTGCTGCGTGCAGGAATCACGCGCAGCACCCTGCTTTTGCTTCTGACACCTCAGAAATGGCAGTTGGTTTGTGGCCTTTTTGTATCTTATTGTTCATAATTTGCCCCACTGTGCGTGTGTGCAGTTGGTTTTAGTCCTGTATAGTTTCTTTGCGTTCTGTTGCTTGAGGAGACGTTTGTCCAGGTGCAAGCACTCTGGTAGGGGGTCCCAGGTCCCAGCCTGTCTCATAATTGCAGATTAACTTGACTGTTATAGATCATAGTTCTTAGGCCTGTTTTTCGTATTTCACTCCTTGACTTAGTGCTAGACATATATTCAGAGAGTATCCTGTGGTCATTTTGAGCTTGGCACCCTTGCCACTCTGTTCGTGAGATTCTTACGTTCTTTAGACTGTTATCTGCCTGTTATCACGGCTGTGCTCCCAGTGGTCTGGTTCCTGAATGGAAAGGGCATTTCTTTACCTGCTCACAGCTAACATCATCTCTTGCCTAGAAGATTATAATAGATTTCTAAATGGCCTCCCCGAATGCCCTCTAGTCCCCCTGACTCCTTTCAGCGGTCAGAGGTACCTGTTGCAAATGCAAGTCTGGTCACTTCACCCTTTAGCTTAAAAGCTTTCTGTGACTTCCAGTTGCCTTTAGGATACATCCCAAACCTTCCCAGGTCTGGCCTCTGCATCCCCACCAGCCTTGCTGCCATTGCTCCCAGCTTTCTGAGTTCAGGCTGCCTTGGCCTTCTTTCAGTTCTTTGCTGTGCATTCTCCTTTCACCACATGTGTCCTCTCTGGCTGCAGGGTTCTGCCCTCTATCTTTTTCTCTTTCCTGTACTTCGAGGCCAATCTCCCTCCTCAGCTAGACCCATTTCCCCTCCTATCCAGGCTCCTAATATCACACACCTCTCTTTCTTAGCCCTCATTACTGTTTAAAGTTTCCATATATTTGTGTGATTCTTTGGTTAAGGCCTGTCTTCTACACAAGCCAATATGCTCCACAAGGGTGGGCTGTCTCTTTTTTGCTGGGGGCGGGGCTTACCATTACCAGCATGCAACACACACTGTAAGTGTTTATTAAATTTTTATTGAACGGCCGTGATTTCTTCTCGCTTTGCCCTTCTGGAGTTTGACAGCTGTGCCTCATTGAAGTTGTAACTTCATCTGCGACTTCCTCACTAGCCAGCTCTCCTCGATCTAAAGGTCTCGCTTCATTGGAGCTTTTCTAGTGTTTTAGGAAGGCATCTGAACTTGGTCTTCTAGTGGCCATATATGCATCCCTCTTTTTCCTCCTCTGAAAATCCAGACCCTACTCTAAGGCCGTCCTTTTCTCTGACTGGGGAATCCTTGCAGCTCTGACTGTCTCTCCAGGTTCTCCTTGGTAATTAAGTAATTAAGGGTCTTGCATGAAGTTTTTTCATGCCTCTTAAATAAGAACTAAATTTACTTGTCTCTTTGTTGCAGTTTACAATCTGTTCTGCTATAAGGAAGGAACTGCATTCATAAGAAGTTTTACATTATCAAAAGGCATGATATAAAAAACAATTGCTTGACTAGAAGAAAGGGGTTAGGGATTTGACAATATCCGAGTCATAATATAGTTCTTTTTCTATAGAATTTTTTCTAATAAACTATTTTCTTAATAGCCACGAAAGTGTTAGTAAAACCCGTCACTGCCCACAACTTAGTGTTTGCTCTGGAATCACAGTCTTTGTTTTCCATCATTGCCTCCACTATCGTTGGCAAAGAACCTTTTACACCATCCTGTTTCCACGATTACCTGATTACCCATTGTTAAGCCCAATACCAAGCTTCTCCCCAAACCCAGCTGCTACAGACAACAGCTTCTCATACTAAGGGGTTGGTTCCAGATCTAGTATAATGATGATATATATAATGGTAATGAAATTCCCAAATTTATTCAAGCCTATAATTTTCTCAGATCTAGACAGCCTACCTCAAGCAAAAACACCTGTGTTTTTTTAAAATCTTGCAATGGACTGAGCTTCCCTTTTTTTGAATGATCTTCTTTTTAAGGTTGAAGTGTAGTTGATTTACAATGTTGTAAGTTTCTGGTGTACAGCAACATGATTCAGTTATACATATATATTCTTTTTCATATTTTCCATTATGGTTTATTACAGGATACAGAATATAGTTCCCTGTGCTATACAGTAGGGCCTTGTTGTTTATTCTATATATAGTAGTTTGCATCTGCTAGTCCCAAACTCCCAGTTCAACCCTCCCCCTGCCCCTTGGCAACCACAAGTCTGTTCTCTATATCTGTGAGTCTATTTCTGTTTTGCAGATAAATTCATTTGAAAAACACCTGTGCTGTAATGTTTTCCCCTGAATCAGGTGATGCAGGCCCAGTGTGTCAAAACAGAAACTGAATTCTACCGCCGCAGTCGCAGCGAGATAGTGCATGGAGAAGGGCACACCATGGGGGCACTTTATTGGCAGTTGAATGACATCTGGCAGGCTCCTTCCTGGTCTTCTCTAGGTAAGTGTTTCAGTATTCTTTGTGTGAGTGAGAGAAAGCCATACCTGTGGGGAGAGGCACTGAGAGAGCACAGAGCTGGAAGGGTCAGATGAACCCAAGCAGGACTCCAGGGAGAGGAGGCTGTCCAGCTGCTGGTCTCGGAGCTGCGGCCTCCTCTCCCACCTTCACAGTCTTTCCAGGAGCCTTAGAGGCAGCCTCACTACGAGTTCTGAGCTGTGCAGTCGCAAAAGCAGGCGAAGGAAGGGAAAGATTCATGCGTGAAGATCTCAGCCATGTGTCTTCTGATTGTTGCTTAGAATTTTGAATTTACTTAAGAGGACTTTCCAGGGCAAAAGGAGATTGACATAAGCACCCCTTCTTCTGTTTAGGAGAATCCAACCACAGGAAAGTTTGGCCCAGCTGAGTGTTAAAATGTCCCTTTGCTGACTCCCCTTCAAGTCCGTCAGGTCATCTTTCTTTCGCCCTGTTGATCTCTTGGGGGAAAGGGAATTGAGTGAGAAATCCAAGTAAGAAGGGTTATCAGGTGAACCTGTCTGTTCAATGAGGAACAGGTGAGACGGCTGACATGGTGCTTGCAGTTTGAATTATTTCATCTATTTTGGTGCATTAAAAAAAATTAAGGTGTAATAATGAATGTTGGCCTTCACTAAGAGGTGATTTGAAGCCAAGTCCAGTTAACGATATGAACAAAAGTTTTGGGTCAAAAATGAGGCAAGGCCGTGAAGTAAGAAGGCCATTTTGCTGGGTGAGGCTCTTAAACAAGCTGAGAATGCAGAGCACAGAGTTCCTTCCCCACATGCTTTGAATAAGTGCTCATCACCTCTGCAGGGAACTGCAGTCTTGATCAGGTTTCCCTGATCAAACTCTTTATCTACACCAACCAGAGAAAAGGATATTTAATGAGAGTCAGGGGATAGATGCTAGGGGAATAGCCTTTCTGGGACGCTTAAACCGGAGAAAGAGATGTTGTTCAGAGGTACTTGGAGCCTGAGCCTGCTTCCTGTCTGCGGATGCGGCGGTGGTCTTCTGAAGCTGAGTTCGGTTCAAGAAGTGGGAGAGCCCAGGCTTTGTAACTCTTCCCTTAAATGACCCTATGTTCTTCAGAAAGGATTTCAGAGTATGATGGCAGAGTAAGAATTTGTCTGCCTTCTAAACTCTGGCAGGACAGTGCATTCGAGGAGAGGGTCACCATCTCCTGGGGGTGTCACCGTTTAGTAACTAAGGTATGTATCACTGAGACCTTTTGCTTCAGCTGCTGTTCTCTTGAATGTCTTTTGTTTGTGGCCTTGATTGCTGCAACCACGCATTTGAAGTCTTTCTCCTGTAATGGATGCCACACGTGAGAGTGTGTAAGTTATCTCAGGTCCAAGCCATTTTCCATTTATCAGAAAACTTTCCAAATATAAGTTCTAGTTCATTTCATAGATCTAATTGGAAAGGCCTCTCCACCCTTCCCCTCTCATTGTTATTTATTTATTTTTGTTTTTGCGGTACGCGGGCCTCTCACTGTTGTGGCCTCTCCTGTTGTGGAGCACAGGCTCCGGACACGCAGGCTCAGCGGCCATGGCTCACGGGCCCAGCCGCTCTGCAGCATGTGGGATCCTCCCGGACCCGGGCATGAACCCGGGCACGAACCCGTGTGCCCTGCATCGGCAGGCGGACTCTCAACCACTGCGCCACCAGGGAAGCCCTCTCATTGTTATTTTTAAGGGGAAATACTAAGAGTTGGAATTGAAGTGCTGGAGAGTTGAACTTTTGCAAAACCTAAAGAAATTAGTTCTAGCTGAGCCTCAAAACCGTGTTCCTTCATCTCAGCAGCTTGCATGGGTGAATTCTAGAAGTGCTCCCCCATTCTCTCTCCCCCTCTCTCCCACCCGCTTTCCCTCATCTTACTCTCTCACCCGCTGCTCTCTCTCCCTCTCCCTCTCACTGTATACCTTTCTCTGAAGCTGTCTGGTGATGCAGTGTTTTGTGGAGAAGGATCTTCTTTCTGAAATAGAGGCACGTTGAAATATTTTTTGGTTTGTGGGTTTAGCATACCAGAGATGCCAACAGGGCACCGGATTCTGCAGGTTCTTGATAGCTTCTAATTGTATTTGAGGAATTGTCATTAATTGTCATGCGTTTGGGTGTCCCCCTCCAGTCTGAACTTACCAGCCATATTTGTGATTGTGGTTGCTTTGTTTCACTCAGAGGATTTTGTGCCTATGGGAAAAGGAGACTTTGAGTTCTAAGTAAGTTTATTTTTTTAAAAAAATTTAATTTAATTTATTATTTATCTATTTTTATTGAGGTATAGTTGATCTACAATATTAGTTTCAGGTGTACAATACAGTGATTCAAAATTTTATAGATTATACTCCATTGAAAGTTATTATAGAATATTGGCTATATTCCCTGTGCTCTACAGTATAACCTTGTAGCTTATTTATTTTATACATAGTCCTTTGTACTTCTTAATCTGCTGTCCCTATGTTGCACTTTGCTCCTTCCCTCTCCCCACGAGTAACCAATAGTTTGTTCTCTATATCTGTGAGTCTGTTTCTGTTCCATTCATCCATTTGTTTCATTTTTTAGACTACACATATAAATGATAACATATAGAGTATTTGTCTTTCTCTGTCTGACTTATTTCACTAAGCATAATACCCCCCAGGTCCATCCATGTGTTGCAAATGGCAAAATTTCATACTTTTATGGGCAATTAATATTCCATTGCATATATATATATATATATATATATATATACCACATCTTCTTTATCCATTCATCTGTTGATGGACACTTAGGTTGCTTCCACACCTTTGCTCTTGTAAATAATGCTGCACTGAACATTGGGGTGCATGCATCTTTTCGAATTAGTGTTTTTATTTTCTTTGGATATATACCCAGGAGTGGAATTGCCAGGTCTTATAGTTCTATTTTTAGTTTTTTTTGAGGCACCTCCATCCTGTTTTCTATAGTGGCCACATCAATTTACATTACCACCAACACTGTAGGAGGGTTCCCTTTTTCTCCACATCCTTGCCAACATTTACTCTTTGTGGTCGTTTTGAATATAGTCATTCTGACAGATGTGAGGTGATACCTCATTGTGGTTTTGATTTGCATCCCTGATGATCAACAACATTGAGTATATTTTCATATGCCTGTTGGTCATCTGTATGTCTTATTTCGAAAAATGTCTATTCAGGTCTCCTCCCCATTTTTTTTTTTTTTTTTTGCGGTACGCAGGCCTCTCACTGTTGTGGCCTCTCCCATTGCAGAGCACAGGCTCTGGACATGCAGGCTCAGTGGCCATGGCTTACAGGCCCAGCCGCTTCGCGGCATGTGGGATCTTCCTGGACCGGGGCACGAACCCGTGTCTCCTGCATCAGCAGGTGGACTCTCAACCACTGTGCCACCAGGGAAGCCCTCCTCCCCATTTTTTGATTGGGTTGTTTGTTTTTTCTATATTGAGTTGTATGAGCTATTTATATATTTTTGTATATTAACCTCTTATCGGTCGTATCATTTGCAAATATTTTCTCCCAATCAGTAGGCTGTCTTTTCATTGTGTTTATGGTTTCTTTTGCTGTGCAGAAGCTTTTAAGATTAATTAGATCCATTTGTTTATTTTTCCTTTTGTTTCTTTTGCCTGAGGAGACAGAGCCAAAAAAATATTGCTACAATTTATGTCAGAGTATTTTGCCTATGTTTTCCTCTAGGAATTTTATGGTTTCTGGTCTTACATTTAGGTCCTTAATCCAGTTTGAGTTTATTTTTGTAACTGGTGTGAGAAAATGTTCTAATTTCATTCTTTTACATGTAGCTGTCCAGTTTTCCCAGTACCATTCATTGAAGAGTGTGTCTTTTCTCCACTGTATACTCTTGCCTCCTTTGTTGTAGAGTAATTGACCATAAGTGTGTGGGTTTATTTCTGGGCTCACTATTCTGTTCTATTGATGTATGTGTCTGTTTTTGTGCCAGCGCCATACTGTTTTGATGGCTAGCTTTGTAGTACAGTCTGAAGTCTGGGCGCATGATACCTATAGCACTATTCTTCTTTCTCAAGATTGTTTTCACTATTTGGGGTCTTTTGTGTTTCCATACAAATTTTAGAATTATTTGCTCTAGTTCTGTGAAATATGCCATTAGTATTTTGATATGGATTGCACTGAATCTGTAGATTGCCTTGAGTAGTATGGTCATTCTAACAATGTTAGTCCTGTCTATGAACACAGTATCTGTTTCCGTTTGTTTGTGTTGTCTCCAGTTTCTTTCATCAGTGTCTTATAGTTTTCCATGTACAGGTATTTTCCCTCCTTAGTTAGATTTATTCCTAGGTATTTTATTCTTTTTGATGTGATGGTAAATGGGATTGTATACTTAATTCCTCTCTTATAGTTTGTTGTTAGTGTATAGAAATGCAACAAATTTCTGTATATTAATTCTGTACCCTTTGACTTTACCAAATTCATTGATGAGCTATAGTAATTTTGGTGCTGTCTTTAGGATTTTCTTTTTTTTTTTTCATGTAATGCCTGAAACATTTATATTAACATATTTCCATACAAATAACCCAAAGAAAGTTTAGTAGTAGTTGTTTTTTTGTTTGTTTGTTTTTTTATACTGCAGGAGGATTTTCTAAGTATAGCATCATGTCATCTGCCAACAGTGACAGTTTTCCTTCTTCCTTTCCAATTTGTATTCTTTTTATTTCGTTTTTTTTTGTCTGATTGCTCTGGGTACGACTTCCAATACTATGTTGAATAAAACTGGGAGAGTGGACATCTTTGTCTTGTTCCTGATCTTAGAGGAAGTGCTTTCAGCTTTTCACTGTTGAGTATGATGTGAGCTGTGGGCTTATCATATATGGCCTTTATTATGTTGAGGTATGTTCCCTCCATACCCATCCATTTATGGTAAAACATAAATGGATGTTGAATTTTGTCAAAAACTATTTCTGCATTCATTGAGATGATCATATGGTTTTTGCCTGGTTTTGGAATCAGGCTGAT